CTCATCAAAATCCCGTGAAAACGCGTCCCCAGGGATGCGCCTTACCCGTGTTGCATCCGACTCAGCATAAACTCAGGTAAAGCGCGTCCCCGAGGATGCGTCTTTGTGCCACCTCAGCCGAAAGGGTGCTACTTCGAAAAATATTGGTCAAACGGTATTAGAAAGAGAATATTACGGGAAAAAGGTGTCAGTTATGTCAAATTGCCATGTGTTTAAGTATTTGCAAGTATAGCATGAGGAAAAAGACAAAAATATAAAATACATTAAATATGTCATAAATTGTTGAATTCTATTTAAAAAATTATTTTAATTATTAAAATTTTAAAAATTTTAAAACAATATTCATAAAATTATTATAAATAACCATTATAATATTATTATAAATATATAAAATTTTATAAATTAATAATTATTTTATAATAAATATAACAATTAATAAATTTAATGATTATTTTAAGTAAATGTAATTCAATAAATTATAATATAATGTAGACCTAATATAAAAATAAATTATATTTTTATGTATTTATGTCATAATGATTGTTAAAAAAATTATGAAGTGATATGTGTTGTATTTATATTTTTAAAATTTTTAATTTTAAAAAAATTAAATATATTTTTTTTAAAAAATCTTAATTCTACTAAAATATTAAAAATTACCCTAAAATCCCAAACCAAAAATCATCAATTCCGTCCACGTCCACACTTAAAAATAATGGTTTTTTTATCGAAATATTACATGTCAGACACCCTTTCGCCTTTTTAGAGTTTCGTTTAAATTGGCTCCACGTCATGAAAAGCGCCGATGGTGATCCGCGCCTTATGTATGCGTGTTATATGTCTTAGAAAGGTGCGAATGACGATCCGCACCTGTCATTATGTGACGTCAGCTCGGATAAGACGCGAATGACCATACGCGCCTTTCATTATGTGACGCCAGTTCGGACGAAACCGTCATCCGCGTTTTATCAGAAAAGGTCCGTAAAATTAGACGAAAGTATGTCTGAAAGGTAATTATTTCATATCAAGGTGATATTTTGGTAAAATCTCCGAAGGGGAGTACATTTCTAGGAAAGGGCGGAAGCAAACAAATCGTTGGATCTCTTCAAGTTCATCCAGCTTTTATGGTAATTTTTCTCGTTCTAAAATTTATGATTCCAATTTTAACTTTTGTTTTCAGACTCCAATCTCTTTCTCTCTTTTCACATTCACTGAGATTTAGTTCGTATTTTATGGGTATAATTATTGCATGATTATGCCGATTCTGAAAGTAAAAGAATAAGGGATTCAAATATATTTGAATTTTGAACAATTGTCTTCAGTATTCTAAAATCGTTTTCTTTTTTTTTTATATTGATTTTCAGGTTTGTTAGATTTCTGGTCTAAGTAGTTAAGACTCAAGAGTTAATTGCAGTTGTAATTACTGTTGTTGTTATTATTTTTTTATTGTTCTTTCAAGATGTGGAATTTTGCTTGTAATACCATTGGAAGCATTTGGTTTAAGAGTTCGAAAGAGGCCAGTCAAGCTTGTTCCGACTGTTCAGACGATGAGGTGTGTTCAAATGTTAGTGGTGATGAAGGATTAGAGTGTCCCATTTGCTGGGAATCTTTCAACATTGATGAGAATGTGCCTTACGTCTTATGGTGTGGTCACACTCTGTCAAAATTATGTGATGGGTCTCCAACCTATTCTTTTGAAATTCGACACTCAGCAAATCAAGATCCCCGTGTTCATTTCTTGTCCATGGTGCCAATTGCTATCGCTGCGACTGGTTTATAAGGGGAACCTCAAGCTCCCTCGCAAGAATTTCTTCATTTTGTGGATGATCGAGAGCTTAAATGGGGATAGGTATGGCAATGCCAGGAGAAATCTGTCTGGGGACAATCAACCTCTTGGCTTTCCAAGATGTAATTTAATGCTGGGGAATCAAGCTAATCATGGTGTTGTTAGGACAGGGTCATCTGCGAATCGTTCTGAACAAATTAGGTCTCAAGATAATGGCGGCAGAAACATTGCGGAGAGGCATCATTTCTCACTTCATAAATCATTGGATTTCTTCTTTCACTTTACATCCAAGTTCCCTTTGGTCATCGTTCTCCTTCTGGTCGTCTTCATTGCAATACCTGCGAGTGCTGTTATCCTATTGCTCTATTTGCTGGTGACGGTTTTCTTTGCCATCCCGTCTTTCTTGGTAATGTACTTTGCATTCCCTATGTTGGAAAGGCTGGTAAGAGAAATCACCTCATGAGATGTGGACATGTTGCTTTCTCACTTCAGGGTCTATGAGATATATGGTTCCAAGTGAACACATCTATTGGTGTACTCTGGCATCATCCTTCTTTCAATGTTCACTCCACAGGTTTTACTTGAAATTTAGTAGCACCATTGCTCGTAATGTGGCTCTTTAGTATGCTGAAGCTTTGAGATTAATGTATTGTTTTCGTTATGGACTGTGACCTCAAAAGCTTGTTTTAGCAATTGTGGTTATGCCCTTAATTAGATGTCATCGAAATGGCACCTACCTGTTGTACAAGCTTTAGTTCTTCAAAGAATATAATTTGCAATTAATTGTGGTAGTTACTTCGGTCTCTTTATTGGTTATGATCATAATTTTTTCTGCGTTTTGATATAAAATTTTCTACTTTATATTGTTGCAGACGATTCAAAGGTCAGATAAATGGTTTTATTTGTTGCTTAATCTTTTAACCCTTGAAAATTACTATTACTAATTGCACCTTTTGTCAATGCGACTATGGCTTTACTGCCTATATTTTAATTGTTTTTTAAGGGTAAAGTATAGTAATGGTCACTGAACATTTCTGAAGCTTGCATTTAGGTCCCCCAACTTTTAAAACTTGCAATACAGTCCCCAAACATTTAATCCGTTTGCAATATGGTCCCCGCACCTATGAAAATTAGGGTAAATCATATAAATGGTCATTGAACTTTTTAGGCACTTGAATTTAGGTCCCCCAACTTTTAAAACTTACAAAACATTCCTCAATTTCATTATAAATCCCAAATTTCAAAGTAATTCAATTTCATTCTAAACCCTAAATTCCAAAATAATTCAATTACATTCTAAACCCTAAATTCTAAAATACTTCAATTTAAGGAGAAATATAATAGATTATCTTTAAGAACGTGATAGCGTTTTTATTTTTTTACTTTTGTGAAGAAAAAAATACACTCCCTCCTCGTAAATGTAAATTTAGTGATCTTCAATAATTTAAATATAAAAAATGATTATGGAAGAAATTGAATAAAAAAATACAATCTCTCAATGAAAAAAATTAAGAATCAAAATCCCCAATTGACATCCTTATATTTTTTATTTATTTCAATTATAATTTAATTTTTTTAATAGTTTGATGTGATTATAAGATAGTATTTATTCAAAAAAATTAATTTATTAACAATATAGATATACCCTACAAACACAATTGTTTGAATTTAAAACTTTTAAAGAAAATAACTTTTTTTTACCTATATTAGAAAATTAAAAAATAGATCATGCTAGAACTAAAAGAATACGTGACCATGAAATAGAAAGTTTACGTATGTTACGAAAACATGGCACAAACCCCATCTCTTTTGAGTTGATTGTTATCATCAACTTAGGGTATATTATATTAAATTATTGATTTTTTTATTTTATTTTTGAAGTAGTCAACTTCATTGTTTATTTTTTATTGTGTTTTTTTATGATTTTATTAAATAATTTTTCTACAAAAAATATTCGATGTAATAAGTAAATAAATATTTAATTATCATGGTAATATTTATATTTTAATTATAATAGAAATAGTATAAAAATAAAAAATATTTATACATCATTACTATAATTAACATAACTCGTATATAAAATTTTGACTCTGTTATTTATGTAGTCTTAATATTTATGTGAAAGATATAAAATATATTAACACGTATGATTATATATAAAAACATACACAAATAATCAGAAATATATTATTTTTAAATAAATGAATTATTATCATATATTCTTACTATTGAAAAAATTTTCATGTCTTTAAATTAATAATAAAAAATTATCATATGTTTTTAAATATAAAAAGTAAATTAATTAATAATTTAGTGACATTGGCGTCGTTTATAAAAAGACAGAAATTGAAGTATTTTAGAATTTGGGTTTTAGAATGTAATTGAATTATTTTGGAATTTAGGGTTTAGAATGAAATTGAATTACTTTGGAATTTGTGGTTTAGAATGAAATTGAGAATTGTTTTGTAATTTTTAAAAGTTGGGGGACCTAAATTTAAGTGCCTGAAAAGTTTAGTGACCATTTATATAATTTACTCTAATATTCATAGGTGCGGGGACCATATTGCAAATGGATTAAATGTTTGGGGACTGTATTGCAAGTTTTAAAAGTTGAGGGACCTAAATGCAAGTTTCGGAAATGTTCAATGACTATTACTATACTTTACCCTTTTTTAACTATATCAGAATGCACAAATGGCCTTGTTTTTGCTTAACTTGGTCTCATCTCTACTACTTGAATCTGATGCATTATTGAATAATGCTTGCTGTACAAACCTTAAATGTTACACTAGTCATCATTTTATTCTTGTTCATCATATAGGAGATATTTTTCATCTACCAAAAAGAAAAGTTCAACATTGGAACGTTGTGGTTCTAATGCAGTATGGAAGCTTGCAATATTGCTTATCTTGTGGTGACAGTTTAATGTTATAATATGCACAAACTAAAGCCTTGGTATGATGTAGTTAACTAAGGTTTCAAACTCTCAGCATGTTCTTGTTGTCCCTAAATATTTTGCCGTTCAAAGTACTACTTTATTAGCAATCTTTAGGAGTATTCAAATTCCTTCAAGATAAAATTAATATAAAACAATTTCTGCAATTTATCATCATAACATATCATTAGCATTTTAAAATTTTATTTTGTTTAAACAGAGGATTGTCCAAGACATGGGCTAGGATTTTCATATATAATCAAACCCTAGACCCTAAACCCTACAAAAGGTTCTTGAAGAATCTTCTTGATCGAAACAAGTGCTAAATGATTCAAATTATGGTGTCTCTACTTGTGATTGGCATCCTCTAGCTAGTCACAGCATTGTGTAAATGATATTCACATATGTAATTTCAAACTCATGACACTACATTATTAGTTAAATTCAACAGCAGAAGCATGTCACTGGAAGTTCTCCTGTTGTTCTAATTATATTCGCTTTTTCCTTTGCTTTAAGCTCATCATTTCTTTGCCTTGCCTTTGCCTCTGCTCTTGCTCCATCTGCAACTTGTTTGATGTAGTCCGTTTCATTCCTAAATTTTGTTAAGGTTTTTGCTCTCTTTTTCTCCGACCCACTCTTCTGCTCGAAGAAATAAGCTGTTAGTTTCTAAGAATTAGTTTGAATTTAGAGAAGGAAAACAAGTCTAACCTCTGCTTTTTCCAACTTGCTTCTGGCCTTCTTCTTTTTCTTTTCCTCCCAGGCCACTATAGTTTCTTCTAACTTCGAATACCTGTAACTTACTGTAAGTAAAGAAGATGGTATATACTAATATTTCAATTTGCTTGATAAATTGAAAGATTAACTTTTTTCTGTTGGCTTTTCATTTGTTATTTCAATGTAGTTAAGTTTCTTTCTGGCTTAAATATATTGGCCTCAATGTATTTTTACCGTTCGTTGATCTTAGCCATCTCAGCCTTCTCCCAAGCATCTGCTTTTGCCTGATCTGACCCTGTATATGCTGCACTTTGTCTTTCAGCTTCTGTCACTGGAACCACAGGCTTAATAGTAGGAGGCAGTTCTGGTCTTGTTGCCGGAGTTCCTGGTTTCATGACATGATGGTCTGGTTTTGGCGCTGCCCTTTCAGGTTTCGGTGCTGCACTTTCTGGTTGACTGTAAAGTGTATCAGGTTTCGAGGAAGTTCTGGGTTCTGTGCGGCTAGAGCTGCCCATTTGATCGGAAAAACTAAGAGGTCTTTTGAATGATGGCACACGTCTACGTTCCTTTTCATATGCAGCATTGATTTCTGGCACTTTGCTGTCTGCTCTTTCTGAAACTTTCTTTGAACCTTGACCTGTTAATTTTTCTTTTGGTTAAGCAGCGTCAACCAGATTTCTTATTAATTAATTACCTGAATATCTGAATTCTGTCTTACGTCTTGAACCTTTACCTAAAGACTGTTTTGAAGTTGAAGACGTTGCATCTTCCTTTCTGCTCTTGTCCTTGATCAAAGAGGTCTTTTTCTGGACACGAATGCTCTGTTCTTCAATAGAGTTAACAACATATGCAGCAGCTGCAACTCCAACTACTCGCTCTGGTCTATAGTTAGAATCATGAATCCAACTCGTCATATTGAAACCTGTTCTGCGTTCTCTTCTCTGCAAAATCCGAAATTAAGGTATGTTATCACAGCTTCAACCTTGTGTCTTCTTCCTACGTTAAAAACAAAAAACTAGAGAAATAAAACTGCCTTTCTCCCCGAAATGGTGATGTAGGAGGAATGTAATTTTGAAGTTCATGTTTCATATATTCTGCTTTATTTCATTAGTTGGGATTGAACACAAAATTTCATCTTAATTTGAATTAAAAAGAACAAAAAAATCAAAAGGAAGGGTCAGAATTCAGAAAAGCGCAGATGCATGTAATTTTTTATATATGTTATGTCGGGTGAGATATTTACCTGTATGTGCAGGTAATGTGCTTGGTGGCTACTGAAATTGCAGATTGCTGGCAAATTTCATTAATTGTTTCAGATGATTCCTTTGAAATAAATACAGAAATGTGAAGGTGTTTAAGCAATGAGCTGCTTTGTAAATATGGTAGGGCAAAGGAAGAATTCACCATGTAATGCAATGCAAGCAAGCATTGCTTAATTTGCATGCAAAAGTGGGGGCTTGGATATTCTTAAACTAAACCAATCTTCAGTCTGCAACATGATACGTATTCTTTCTCTTCAGGCTTTTGGATTTAAAACTTATTTATTTCATTTCCCAAAAGTTGGAGAAGAATCTTGTTTTTGCACCTTCGGGTAGCTTTCCCCCTTTTTTTTATTCATTTAATTTTACCAGAGGCGAATTAAGTCATTGATTCACAACCCAATGTTGTTCACCCCCAAAAAAGGGTTCCATTCGGTCACTTTAGGGTTGAGTTTTTCAGTTGCCGATTATATTTTAGGATAAGAAAAATTAGGGTTTAGAGTTTTTTTTATAATATAGTGACTATAAGGTAATATTTGTTCAAAATCTTTCTTAGTTATTGAGGATTCACACATACGCTTGTAGATGTAAATGCTTGAATTCAAAACTTCTAGAGAGAATAACATTCTTTTTAACTATTGAGATTATTTGATGGGTTCGTTTCAGAGTCTAATTTTCAATGTGTGTAACAGTAACTGTTTTTATATCATATTATAACTTTTTAATAATTTTAATTAACTAAAAATATTCATAATTAAATTTCACCAATTGAGCCAATATAGTTGGTCGATCGATTAAGTTGTTTATCTTTGTTCTCTTATATCCCTTTGAGTCATGCTTTCTAATCCTATTAGAAATACTCCCTTCGTTTTTTTTCTTTTTAAATTCTTTTTTACCCTCTCTCTCTAAGTAATATTTAAAGTTTGTAAAAAAGAAAATTAAATCCCATCAATTCAATCTTAATTTGATTAATACTTTTTTAATCCCAAGAGTTGAATTGGTTTTAAGGATAATTGCCGCCGAGTGTTATAGAAAATACATGAGTAATGCCTTGTGTTTATTTTTCTTCTGCTTTTCCATGTAAGTTGAGATCCTATTTCATGTAATCAAATTTTTTTTTTTTTGAGGATTTGGAAAATTATTTTAATTCTTATGATCTTAATTTTCTTTATTTTAATCTATATAATATAACGACTCAAAATATGATTTCACAAAGTAGCAGATTTCCTCAATAGATTTTATGATCACTTGGATTTTAGTTTTATATGTTTTTCTTATTATATTAAAAAAAATATTTTTTATTTAATTAAGATGTCATTTTTATTTAATTTTATTACTAATAATAATCAAAATTTCAGTGATCAAATATTTAAAAATTAATAAGATACATTCAAAGTAATAAACTCAGGCATTTATTTTTGAATTCTCTCTTGTTGCCTGTTTCTAGTTTTCTAGTATGTTGCTTAAGCTTCTTAGCTTATTTCTCTTTGTGCTTAAGCCTTTGTGGTTTGTGTTGCCCATCGTGAGGGCAAAGTAACCTCGAGAATATCTACTTTCTCATAACACTGTTAAAATCATGAACTTTTAGTCCCAATAGTATTCCGTTTCGACAGAGTTGTTCAATTTTTATGATTTGAATTAGTCCCGTTGATGTTGAGCTTTCGCATCATCGGTCTAACCCTAGCGGTTAGTTCGTTGCTTGGAGAGCCAAAATACTAACAAGAACTTGGTGAAAATTGATTTAGGCACTCTTTCAACTTTAAAATCATCTAAATGTTGTACAAATCAACTAACATCTTAATGAAATAAAAACAAAATATCAAATGTTATAGTTTTTAATTCAATGATAAAATATGTAAAAACTTAAAAGAAAGTAATAAATTATGTAGTTTTCCTTAGATCTTATGTAAATTTTTAAATAATTTGTTAGAATCCACGTCACCCTAACTTTTTTTTCCCCCTTAACTATTTTTCCGATTAATTAAAAAATTTATTGAATATTGTAAATTGGAAAAGCCCAAAGCGAAATCCAGAAACAGTTTCAGAAATACCTTCTTTGCTGTTGTAAAACTGAGTTGCTCGACGTACTCATGTCAAGCAGTAGCAAAAGATACCTAAAATTTTTGGAGAAATGCAAGAACATGAAGCAACTAAGTCAATCTCATGCCCTAGCAATCACGTGTGGTATCGGCACCAATACCTTTGCTTTAAGCAGGCTCTTAGCATTTTGTTCAAACCCAGAACATGGAAGCCTTACCTATGCCTGCAACCTCTTCAAACACATTCATGAACCCACAATTTGCATCTGCAACACCATGATCAAACCTCTGAAACCTCCAATTATACAGCACCATGTTGAGTAAAGGCATGTACCCTGATAATTATACTCTTCCCTTTGTGTTGAAAGCTTGTGCTAAGTTACAATCTTTTTACTCTGGGGAATTGATTTATGATCATTGCTTGAAATTGGGTTTTGTGTTCGATACTTTTGTGGGTAATGCTTTGATTTCTAAGTACGGTGGGTTTAATAATGTCAAAGTAGCTAGGTGCATCTTTGACGAGATTCCCAGGCTAGATGTTGTTTCATGGACAGTTGTGATTTCTGGGTATGTGCAAATGGGTGATATTGACACTGCAAGATTGCTTTTTAATGAGGCCCCAGTGAAGGATAGAGGAATTTGGGGGGCCATGATTTCTGGATATGTCAAAAACAATTGCTTTAAAGAGGGTCTTTATATGTTCAGGCTAATTCAAATGAGTAATGTAGAGCCTGATGAGGCTATGTTTGTAAGTGTTATTAGTGCCTGTGCTAATATGGGTGCTTTAGATACTGGGATTTGGATTCATAAATATATGGATCAACAAAAGTTTCCACCGAGTCTTCGTTTGAGTGCCCGTCTTGTGGATGTGTATGCAAAATGTGGTAATTTGGATATTGCTAAAAAACTGTTTGATGAAATGCTCCAAAGAGATGTTAGCTGGAACGTTATGATTTCTGGGATGGCGATGCATGGAAACGGAGAAAGTGCCATTCAACTGTTTAGGCAAATAGAGAAAGACCGAGTCAGACCTGATTACATTACTTTTATAGCTCTTTGTAGTGCTTGTAGTTATTCTGGTAATGCATTTGAAGGTCTGAGGATACTCGATAGAATGCGTAACGTGTATAACATCGAGCCTAAAAGTGAACATTTTGGGTGCATAATTGACCTACTTGTCCGGGGTGGGATCCTTCAAGAAGCTAATCAAGTAATACAAAGTATGCCGGATTCAAGCAATCCCTCTGATGAAGCTATTGCCTGGAGAGCTTTGTTGAATTCGTACTGTAGTAGCAAACTAACCAAACTGGCTGAGGTTGCCACTGAGAAGCTCATGCGACTAGAAGATCATAGCAGCGTATACGTTTTGCTCTCGAATATATATGCATCCTCCGGGAAACATTATGATGCCAAAAGAATAAAACAGATGATGAAAAGCCGGGGTGTGAATAAGGCACCAGGTTGCAGCTCTATCAAGATCAATGGGGAAGTTCATGAGTTCATTGCTGGGGAAAACAGCCACCTACAAAATTTTGGAGAAGCTGGACAAGCAATTACATTATACAGGTCTGAGCCCTTATTCATAGCAGCAGATACCGTTGAGCATAGCCAATATAACTAGCAAACAGCTTATTCTTATTCTTCTTCTTTTTTGAGGAGAAGAGGTATACTTACAGCCGAAGGGCAGTGCAAATGAGGAGTCTTGCGATCAGGCATCTGTTAAAGAATGAATACAGGAATGTCCCCAGATTTTTATAGATCCATAGTGGGGTAAGAGTCAAGCACCTTTAGCTCTAAATCCATGTAATAGCATAAACATGCTAATAGCTTGTTGCCTGATCTCCTCTTCTCGGTTCAATGTTGGCCATTTAAGCCTGCATTTTGCTATTCCTTATTCTGGCCAATGGTAAATTGTCTGTTGCTTCTGTCTATTATGGAAGAAACTAATAATCTCCTATTTCTTTTTAAATATGACTCGAAGTAAACCTGTTTATTTCCATTGCTAGAGTACTAGATAAATCAGTGTCTGTTTATTTCCATTGCTAGAGTACTAGATAAATCAGTGTCTTGACAAATATATAATCAAAATTTCCATAGCTGATATAAAGAATAAAGAATTTTATATAGCTCGTTAGGCTCTAAACTAGGAATTCTGAGTCAGCAAGTTCCAGGACTTTCGGGACACCGATGGATTTTGCTCCTTTCTGGAACGAATTTCCCGCAATGTACCTGTAAACAAGTTTGATAAATTTTCAATTAATAGACATTAAAAGAATCGTAAGTTACTAGGAAGGGTGAGTAGAAGAAAACTTGCATTTCTTTCAGGAAGGGATGCTTATAGAGTTTTTCAGGAATTCTTCCTACAAATTGATTGTGATCTAAATGCCTGCAGGTCCAATTAGATCGAATGTAGCATATGAATGCATCAATGCATAACTCAGAAAGCTGGAATAAAGCACAAATGCATTGCAAATGAATCAGCAATTTCGAACAAACTTACAAAGATGTCAACTGTGGGAGATGAACAATGCTAGATGGTATTTCTCCTGAAAGTTTGTTGTAGGATAGGTACCTGCAACCAGAATATCGAATAACGGAGATTCGAGTTAGACCAGAATATTCTATCTGGTTAAAAGGGCATCCAAAAACCTGGCGAACTCCATTCTGATATCCCCAAAGGTTAAAGCTGGTTAGAGCACTTTACTTACAAGATTTCCAAATTGGTCAAACTTGCTAGCTTCGCCGGAATTCCTCCCGTTAAGTAGTTATTGTTTAAGTAACTACAGGCAAATTTTCTGCAATTATTCATTAAATATGATAAAAAGTTGTAATACACGATGAACTTACAGGTTTCGAAGCGACGGGAAACAACCATACAGGCTTATGAGTTGTTTTATAGTACCCACCAAATGATTGTTCCCGACATCCCTACAAACATGCGGTGTTAAGATCTGAGGTACCAGCGGAACAGATAACTTTAATTCCAAGTTTACTGAGGAACGTAACATATTTAAGGAAATCAGTTCTCTTACAAGTGCTGAAGTTTCTCCAAAGTGCCTAACTCTGCCGGAATCCGGCCTGAAAACCGGTTTTGATGCAGATGTATGTACCGAAGCTCCGATAGATTCGCAAGCTCCTTCGGGATCTCCCCTTTAAAATTGTTGAAGCTCAGATACCTACACAATTTTTCGATCAGTATGAAGCAACAATCTTGATTATCATAACGTGAAAAAAAAATACTTCCAGTGCTTACAGATGTGTTAGACTCTTAAGCTCGCCAATTTCAGATGGAAGAATATCTTGTAGCTTATTACATCTCAAATTACTACAATAAAAATATATAATTAAATAAATTACATGAAAATTAACCATAATTTCATAACCTAGATTTAAAACAAATGAACATACAGTATTTTAAGGTGTTTGAGCCGTCCGATTTGAGGTGGAATCGGTCCGGTCAGCTTGTTATTATGCATATCACTGTAATGAGCAACAATTTAATAGCTTTAAATTCACTTGGAGGAGGAGGAGGAGGAGGAGGAGGAGGAGGAGGAGGAGGAGGAGGAGGAGGAGGAGGAGGAGGAGGAGGAGGAGGAGGAAATGAAATTAATTAGAAATTGAAAAATGGAAATGGCTAACTAATAAGGAAAAGATTAATTATATTCGTACAGTCTTGTAAGATCGAACAAATTTGTGACCGGAACGGGAAACGGCCCCACGATCGACACTGCATAAACTTCCCTGCAAATTAAAACGAAACAAATTATTTTAATTTTAAAACAGAGGAGAAATGAAATTAATTAGAAATTGAAAAATGTAGACGAAAAATGAGAATTACAATTCGGTGACAACTCTATAGTCACCCATGAGAGTGCAGGTGATACCAGACCAGGGCGGCAGATTTCCGTCGCCGCAAGGATCGTCACCTACCCAAGCGTAAACCACTCTCCACCCTAACGACGCCTTTATTTCGTTCAGTGCTTTAACTGCAATAACGAAACCATATCCCAAAGAAAAAGCCATCAAATTATACAAAAAAAAAAAACAGTTTAAATTAAGAAACGAGGAAAATTACCGTCGCGTTTGAGAGTTTTGCAGGAGGAAGGGTTGAGAAACGGAAAGAGAACGAAGAGCAGAGTGAATAAACGCGCCATTTCTCCGTATTCTGTCTTTAAAGTAAAATGAGAAATGGATAGTGAAGAAGGAGATCGCCAAAACTAAAAAGAAATAAGGAAATTTTGGAAAAATTAGTTCACAGATCTTTTGCTGAAAGTGTGTAGGATTCGGTTAAGTTTGGTCGCGCTCGGATTTGGTAAACCGTTTGTTATTTTATTTTTGTTTAAACTACACGTTTAGTATCCCAACTATCATTTTGTTCCGTTTTGGTCACCCAACTGTTTTTGGTTTCAAAATCATACCACACGTTAAGTTTTGGTTTCATTTTCGTCACCTGCTGTTGAAAAGTTAACAATGATACTAAAGTATCACCATAAGGTAACACCACATCATCATTGAATATTTAAAAAAATGTCACATCAGTATTTTTGTTAATTTTGTAATGTGAATGACCAAAATGAAACCAAAATGTAGCATTAGGTATGATTTTGAATTAAAAAATAGTTGGGTGACCAAAACGAAACAAAAGTAATAGTTGGGATACTAACATGTAGTTTACCCTTTTACTTTTTCGGGTAAACTATGTATTTAGTCATCCAATTATAGTTTCGATTTCTTTTTGTCACTCAACTATTATTTTTCTCAAAACCATACCTAAAGTTATATTCTGATTCTATTTTGATCACCTATCGTTAAAAAATAACAATTTGTTGACGTGTCATCACAAGATAGTGTCGCATCATTGAAAAGCAAAGAATTGCAACTTTAGCAGTTCTGTTTATTTTTTGACGGCTTGTGACCAAAATAAAATTAAAATATAACGTTAAGTATAAGGCGGTAAGACTGAAAAATCACCCTGACACACTTTATTTACCTGTTAGACGAACTTTATTTACCTTTTAGACACCCTTTCATCTTTATTTACCGATCTAACACCCTTTGTAGGAAGGCGCTCCCCATACACCGTGCCTTACGCTGATCTGGCGCCACGTGGGATAAGACGCGGCCCATGCACCGCATCTTATGCGGACATGACGACACGCTGGGTAAGGCGCAGTGCATGGGCCACGCCTTCTGCCATGTAGGGGTATAGCACGGTGCATGGGGTGCGTCTTCCTGCAATTACGACATGCCCCAGAATGGCGCGATGCATGGGTCGCGCCTTGCATAATTGCATCCGTACTTCTCGGGTTTAAAGCATCTCCTCTTGGCTATAAATACCCCTCTCCCCCGTAAACTCTCTCACAACTCCCTCTCAACTGAGAAACTAATACAATAATCCTCTCAACCAATAAAAAAACACCCGACAATCCTCTTATATTTGATTCAGAAGTTCGTTTGATCTTTCGTTATAAGGTAATTTTTTTATAATATTTTTTATAATTATATATGATTATTTGAAAAAAAATATTGTATTAACTGTTTTCAATTAATTTTTATGGTTGTAAAATTGGAAAGCGGGAGCATACGTCGAAATATTTTTGCAGATACGGTAATAATATAAAATTATATTATTTGAATTATTTACGTTTATGTGTAAAAAATTATGTGTAAAATTATTTACGTTTATGTGTAAAATTTTTATTTTGTTATATTTTAATTCATATATTATTTATTTAATTAGGTTTGTTTTAGGTTTTTTTTGCAAATTTAATATTTTCTTACTTTCAAACTTTAAGAATGGCGCGAATTTCAGCTATTGTTTATTATGATGGAGAAATTTGGGAAGATGAAACCGGCGTTGTTTTCGTATCAAATCATTATGTTAAAATATAATTCAAGAGAAACATAACTCTTGAGGAGCTGATAACGAAGATTTCAAGGAAGGTTCATGTTAGAAGTACTATAAGAATGTCGTCACTTCAGTATAGATTTCCGACATCATTGTTTCCATTAACTTATACAACGTTCGAACTATCGAACAATGATGATGTTGAAATGATGGTTGATTTTGAAAGTAATTATTCAGACGCCGATACGGAGATGTATGCAAAGTTTGTTGAGTGCGTGTTATTCAGGGTCTGTCATTAAGCTCCCACTATGGGTGACTGAACAAGTTGATCAAGTTGACAGCCCGACTATAGTAATGTGTAATGATTTTAATGCTATAATGGGAAATCCGCATCATGCTGCCGTCCCATCAACTTCAATGGGGAGACATTCATCAGCAACTCCTTACGATCTGTACCGAGGTATGTCCACGAACAATCTGTATGGCAACATCGCGTCCAGTTCAAGGGGAAGGCATTCATTTGCAATTTCCTTTGATCTTAATATGGAGATGCCCTCGACGCAACAATCTGTGCAGTTTCCATTTGACACGATGGATTCAAGCTCAAGGAGGAGGCATTCGACTTCGATATTTTTCGATCTCAATGTCGATATGACTTCTAGATCAAAGGGAAGGCATGCAAGTAGTAGATTCTTCAACCTAAATGTAGAAAGCATGGAGGAACCATCATCTCCACCAGAAGAACCGCTTCGTGAGTTGGGTGCAGATGGTGCTGAGACTGGACTATTCATTTACCATGAATCACCGCAATTCAACTCCGATGATGATGTAGATGAAGTTCCCTCATATATAGCACAAACTGACCCTCCAACACATATGTATGAAGCTGATTATGGTGCAATGTATGGGCTAGAATTTGCGGATATGCCTAATCTCGGTGACTATGGATTTTACTCATCAATAAATAGTGGTGAGTTATCTTTAGGCATGGAGTTTTCAAGCAAAGAAGAAGCGATAATGGCTATAAAAAATTACAATATACGTAATTATGTTCAATCCAGAGTCTCCCGCTCTACGATAGAAAAATATGTATGCCACTGTGCCCGACGTGAAAACGAATGCAATTGGATGATTCACATATCGAAGAGGAAGAGGAAAAAAATATATGGGAACTAACGGTATAGAACGGTCCTCACACATGTTGTGTTGGAGGGATTAACCAAGATCATCCCAACTTGGACTCTGAAGTGATCTGCCAAGTCATCATGCCCATGGTAAAAGCAAGTTTACATATAGCTATTGCTGTGTTGATTTCAGCTATAAAATCGCATTATAGGTATTCCGTCTCATACAGAAAAGCATGGAAGGCAAAGCAGAATGCCATTAACAAACTTCACGGCGAATGAGATGCATCTTACAATGAACTTCCAAGTTGGTTTAGGCTGGTGCGGAGGTTGAATCCTGGGACAATTGTGGACTTCGAAACCTCCCTTACGTACCATAATGATCGAATTCTTCACGATCGATGCCAATTCTACTGGGTTTTGTAGACTTACCCACAGTGCATTAATTTTGTCAAATAATGCAAGCTTGTGGTCTAGATCGACAGGATTTTCTTGTATGGAAAATACAAGTAAGTTTTACTATTGGCAGTTGTCCAAGATAGTAATCGCAACATTCTTCCAGTTGTTTTTGCTCGTGTTGAAGGAGAAGATACAGATTATTGGGCTTTTTTCCTCTGAAACTTACGTTCACATGTTATCACGAAGGAAAAAAATTATGTCCTTTAAGATTGCAGAGCTGAGATCAAAGCATTAATGGATTCTTTGGGTTTATTGTGGAAACCACCCTTTGTCCAACATAGGTATTGTATCTGACACATTACTGCGAACTACCATGGAAGGTTCAAGAAGAATGATAAGCGCCAATTACTTGTGTGCATGGGTAAGTGAAACCACCCTTTTTCTTTTGATCATTTTCATTTTTTTAAAGAAACAAAGTTAATAAGTTCTACATTTTATGATCAGGTTATGAACTACTACCTCAAGCATTTGAATCCATGCTTCAAGATTTGTGGGCGAAGAATGAGGAAGGATACTATTACATCAGCCTCATCAATAAAGAAATATGGACAAACACATATGATGGTGGATATCAATATGGACACAGGACGACCAACTTGGCTGAGGCAATCAATTTGACCTTAAAGGGTGCACGTCACTTACCTGTAGTGGTTTTGGTAAAAACTACATATTTTTGTTTGGGGTGCTTTTTACAAAGCTCGGGGGATAAGCTCAAACCTGAATGCAAGGCGGTTATGTCTATCACCCTAGATTAGTTACAGATCTATAAAAAAAATTCCTGCATCAAATGGAATGTCTGTAACAAGCTTTTCTAGAATGTATGAATTGTTTCGTGTCACAGATTTGTCGCGACCTCTTCAAGGGATTGAAACTGTGTCGTTAAGAGTAAATCTATGGGACAGATGGTGCGATTGTGGGTTTTTTCAAGCTCTGAAGTATCCATGCTCTCATGTGATAGCAACTTGCTCGCATACCCGTCAAGACTATAACCATTTTGTGGATCCCGTATACCTACTATCAGAAGTGTTTAAGGTATATGAATTTGAGTTCCCCCCATAGATAATGACAAAGACCCTAATAAGGTTTAGAATTGGGTTCCGATTGTACTAGATCTAACTTTATTGAGGGACCGTGGTTGTCCAAAACCCACTCGAATTCATTGTGATATGGATATTCGAGAAAAATCTAGACACGACAAAAAATGTGTGCATTGTAGAATCTCATGATACACTAGAAGAACATGTCCACTTCTGTTGTCATCAAGTAACAATTGACGAGGAATTGATGTAGTTGTTGTTTATCAAATAATAATTCTTGTAGTTTAATTTACATTTACTTAAAGTTAATGTCATTTGATAACCGCTAATGAAGATTAAAAAATGATACAAAAAAACGAGATTCGACGTTAGCGTTATATGTGATTATAATAAAAGAGATAATAAGTGACAAACTTAAAAAAATTATCGAACACAATTATTAAATTTTATCAAACTAATAACAATTTGGTATTTGAATATAATTTTAAATACAACAAACTTACAATAAGTATTAAATGGTAAAATAATTATCAAAATAAATTAACAAAAAGCCCAACAAAATTAACAAAATAAATTAAGTATTAAATGATAAATAATAAAAAAATTACAATAAAAAAGTCCAATAAGCAACTAAATACAAATATAATAAAATAACAAAATCTATCGATGTCTGTGGTGCGAATGTGTTTCGCAGGGCGGTGGTTGTCTGTCTC